AAGGACCTACTACGCTAAGCGTAGTGACTGAGTATGCTGGTCGTACTCAGTCTTTGTTGACTGTTTGACTTTTTGACTTTGACCTTTGACTAGGAATTTGACCAAGTCTGATCTAGTAGCCTTTTAGGTATTTTGAGTTGTAATTTGAGTTTAGGTCACTGTTTGTTGTATAGGATTAAGTTGTTAGGGACGTTTAATGCGGCGTGGTGGGGTGGTGTTTACGGTGCGCCGGATTGCGAGTCCTGCATCTGTTTTGTCCTTTATTGATGATTAAGTCATTAAGAGGTTTAGGCACGGTGCGGTGGTCGTGATGGTTAACCGTTGACCATTGAGTTTTGACATGTTTGACTTTTAGTTAAACTTAGGGTTTCGAGTAGTATTATGAAGTTTGACTTGTTTTAGAAGCTCAAGATAACACCATTAACCAGCTAAAAAGAAGCTCAAGATACTAAAAACAGATTACATGAGAGGTTTACCTCGCGAAGAATCATGAAAATTCCACCTGGACTGAAATCGAGACTAATCATGCTCGTTTTCAAGAAAATGAATCTTCCATCGACGGAAGGGATGGCAAACCTGACTTGGAGTTGGTTGGGGAAGAAGACAAACAAACAATTAAATCTCTGATTCCATATGAGATCGGAGGACGCATATATTGGTAAACCCATATTTTTTAGATGGAGGTAACACGAATATGAATATATGATCATGAGATGGTCAAAAAACTTACCGTTGATGATGATTGCTCGTTGATCTGAAAGTCTCAACAAAGAAGGAAGAACACTCAGAGACGATGGTGAGGAGAAAAAAGAATTATAGAAGAAACCTTGATTTAAGTATATAGCAGTTTGACCTTTTAGTGGGTTTAACCAGTTGACTTTGACCAAGTTTGACCATTGAGGGTATTTTAGGATTTTGATGGAATTGGTCTTTGGTGGGATTAGGTGCCTGTTAGAGAGCAGAGTTTCGGAGTCAGGGACCTTATCAGCTTATGTTCAGTTTGCGAGGTGAGGTTTCCTCACCGTACTTTCGGGTTGAAGGCACCAAGGTCGGCCCATTTGATTGTTATCATGGTTTATTGTATGTTGTTATGATGTAGTGATCTGTTAGACCGGTATCCTAGTACATAGGATGATGTTATGCTTAGGGATCTGTAAGATATGTTCGATTGTCAGTTGACTGGTTATATGTTTATATGTTATTTGTTATGTATATGTTGACATGTTATGTATGGTTGGGTTGAGGCGAACCAGTGGAGACTGAAAGCCAAGAGACCCAGGGCGACCCAAATAGACTAAAGGGCGTGTGGCGGATCAGTCAGGTCGAAGGCCCGGAGAACTGTCCAGATATGCTGAAGGCCCGATGAGGCGGTCTAGTCATGCTGAAGGTTCTGTAAGTGGTCTAGATAGACTGTAGGCCTGCGAGGCGGTGCATTCAGGCTGAAGGCTCTGTGTGCATGTTGTTTGTTATTGTTGTTATGTGTATTATGTGTTGGTACTTTGGGGGATCTCACTAAGCATTGGCTTACAGTTTTGGGTTATGTTTCAGGTACTTCGGATGATCGCGGGAACGCGAAGGCGTGACCGTACACATCCTCATGTTTTGACTTATGATTTTGGGAGACTCTGATGTTGAACATGTTTTGTGAACTATGTTTGTAAACAATTTGTGAAATTGGTTGGTTTTAAAAAGTTTAAATTTTTCATGGTTTTATGAGTGTTACACTAACAATCCATAAGTAAAAGTAGTGATGATCATTGGGTCATCTCTTGTGGGCATCTTCTTGCTTATTTCATTAAATCGTTTGAAATATGCTTTATTAGACTCTCATTCCCTCTCTCTACAAGCAAATATGGCGTGAGCCTTTTGTTGGAACCTCTATTGTTGTATAAAGTTGTTGCAAAACTTCTTTATAGTTCTTCGAAACTACTTATGTTCTTCGGGGGAAGGCTGGCTAGCCAATAACGAGCTGATCCGTCAAGGTTCCCACGAAATAAAGGCTGCATAGTTTAGGGTCCATAAGTATCATCTTGATTTCCCACCGGAAGTTTGATACGTGATCATCCGGATCTCCCGTACTGTTATAGGGCTTCACCCTAGGTCCTTTCAACCCTATGGGGATAGGGGTATCATTAATGTTATCGGTGAAAGGATTCCTACAATTTAGGCTCTCGGATGCCTTGTTGTACTCCTTTACTCCGACTATCTCCCACGACTCCCTTGGCCTTTGATCCTCATGGGTCTTTCTTTGCTTACGTTTTTCCCTTACTTCTCTACTTTCTGACCCGCTCGAACTCCAAGTATGAACCGATACTCGGTACTAGTCTTCTTCCCTATGTACCTTTTACTTTCCTTTTTCAGCTTGTTGCTTTCTCAAAGCTTTGAACTTCTGGAAGGCTTTGAATTTCGTCATCTCTTTCTTGTCATCTTTGTGGCCTTCCTCATTCATTATTGGCTCCTTCGAAGCAGCTCCAAGGTTGGTAACATTCCACCCTCTTACCACCGTGGCTATTTGAGGTGTCTCCGTATGTGCTTATAACGGTTGCATTCTTCGGATTGGGCTCAATTTATGTCGTCGACTAGATTATCGATGGTGACCATTTGTTGCGTGGTCCCACAGATGGTGCCACTTGATGTAACTCAGATTCTCCACTCTTTATACTTTATGTGAGATCCTAGAGTGAGTAAAGCTTGGAATAGCCAAACCAGAATTACACCACCAAACAGTAAGCCGTTCACCGGGATGATTCCCAGGAGAACGCTCTGACACTCAAGTTAGAACACAGAACTCAACATCGACCTCAATGAATAGTAAATTGAATTGATTGTGTGTACCTTTTGCAATCCGTTGTAGCTACCTTTATACTCACCTTCCTCGGGAAGTAGCGATGCGGGATGTGCCTCTAGTCACCACTAATGCTCTCGTTGCCGAAGGTACAAAACTTGTACTAAGGTTGGGTCATTAGTCTTTTTTAGTTTGTTATTTGTGAGTTGCCGTGAAATGCAAGTACAATACAATATGTATGGTTATAAATCTGACATTGTGTTGCTTGAGCTTGTCGAGCACTCAAGCAACCGCACCTGCTCATTCGGATGGGGCTTTGAGAAGATCCCTTCCTGCGGTTCAATATCCTACTCCATATCGAACCATAGTTCGAGGAGGTACATATCCATGTTAGGCATATACCTCATTAATGATGTGGTAAAATGTATTGTTTATTTAAAAGTTTAAACATCATGAATTTTTTATAGTTATAAATACTGTAACATCCTAAATATCGAAGACTTTATATGTTTCTACCATGGAATCAACAAACCATGCATGTTAGTTTTACTGATTAATGTACTTACATTTAAGTCTATAAACGTTTTTTTTTATCGAGAATGCAGATAGAACAAATCCAGAATTAGCGGAACATCTTTGAAATACTACATGTGTTATTTTTAGCCATTGTTACCATGTAATTATAAGTAGCATAAAATCTCTTAGTATAAGTTACGTATTTAATTTGAGTATGAAATGCAAGTTACAATTTCAAGTCCCCATAAATAGGTTGTTTGGATGTGCTACTTTTTCCGCTTGTTGCTTTCTCATAGCTTTGAACTTCTAGAAGGCTTTAAATTCCATCGTCACTTTCTTGTCATCTTTGTGGCCTTCCTCATTCGTTACAATCTCCTTCGAACCAGCTCCAAGGTGGGTAACATTCCACCCTCTTACCACCGTGGCTATTTGAGGTGTCTCCGTCTGTGCTTATAACGGTTGCATTCTTCGGATTGGACTCAGATTTATGTCGTTGACAAGATTATCGATGGTGACCATTTGTTGTGTGGTCCCACAGATGGCGCCACTTAATGTGCCTCAGATTCTCCACTCTTTGTACTCTATGTGAGATCCTAGACCGAGTAAAGCTTGGAATAGCCGAACCTGAATTACACCACCAAACAGTAAGCCGTTCACCAGGATGATTCCTAGGAGAATGCTCAAGTTAGAACACAGAACTCAACATCGACCTCAATGAATAGTAAATTGAATTCATTGTGTGTACCTTTTGCCATCCGTTGTGGCTACCTTTATACTCACCTTCCTCGGGAAGTAGTGATGCGGGATATGCCGAGTAGTCAGTAGTCTAGTCACCAATAATGCTCTCGTTGTCGAAGGTACAAAAGTTGTACTAAGGTTGGGTCATTAGTCTTTTTTAGTTTGTTATTTTTGAGCTGTCGTGAAGTGCAAGTACAATACAGCATGTATGGTTATAAATCTGACATTGTGTTGCTTGGGTTCAATATCCTACTCCATGGTTCGGTATACTGAACCATATGGTTCGGAGAGGTACATATCCAGGCGCGATAGGCTTATACCTCATTAATGATGTGGTAAAATGTATTGTTTATTTGAAAGTTTAAACATAATGAATTTTTTGTAGTTATAAATATTGTAACATCCTAAATATCGAAGACTTTAATTATAAGTTTCTACCATGGAATCAACAACCATGCATGATAGTTTTACTGATTAATGTACTTACATTTAAGTCTATATCGAGAATGCAGATAGAACAAATCCAGAATTATCAGAACATCTCCGGAATACTGCATGTGTTACTTTTAGCCAATATTACCATATAATTATAAGCAGCGTAAAATCTCTTAGTATAAGTTATGTATTTAATTTGAATCCTAAATGTAAGTTACATTCACAAGTCCCCATAAATAAATTGCTTGGCTGTGCTACTTTTCAAATGGATGCGAAGCTAAGATTGTACCCACAGTCCAACAACGAAGCAATGCCATAAATCAATACACATAACAAGAATAACCCAGAAGTAATATTAGTGATTCACCAGTTGCATCAAGTGATTGTACCCATACTTTGTTGATGAATTAAGATGCAATTGCAAATGAAATGCTAACAAAAGATATTTTCCTATTCAATCAAAAGAGTTCAATGGAAAACCAAACACTGAACTCAAATGCGAAAAAAAAAAAATGTAAAAACTTTTTCAAAATTGAAACTGGGAGATGCTACAGCAGTTCCTCTCTCGTTGCTCGGCGGGTGATACCCAAACCAGACTGTCCACATAATCAATAACTTTACCTCTTTCATTCTTACCAAGCTTTATAACTTTAGTAGTGGCTGCAACGGGATCGTACAAACCATGATCATATCCTAAAACTGAAAACCTAACTTGAAAAAGAAACTCATTTTGTAAGGTAAATCCGTAGGGATATATATAACCCCTAAAAGGAGGAAAGAAATGATGTTTGACCCATGACTCAGCCACTCCATACTCATCCATCACCCACAACTGACGTTCAACACCTGGAACGGTTGACATGACACAAAGCTTTCCAGCCAGAACTCCTAACTTAATCCAGACTTTCTTCACATTGCTACCTGTCAAAGAATCCGGAAGAGGAATCTCACGGAATGTCTCTGCTCCCAAATCATATGCCAATATAGTATTTATTTCTAAATACTTCCACCCTCTATAATAGTAACTGTGCCAATGAAGATGGCTGTTATGGCCATCTACACAGAGATCATCAAAATCGGAAATATTCTTGAGGCGAGTGATGAACTTCCAAGAACCATTTCTCATGCTATAAACCTCAACCGGAAGCCACTCCATAAAGACAACTGTGTTTGGTGATATCAAAAGACGTTGTGTAATCTTAACAACTTTGTAATCATCAGTTTTGGGATCAAATCCGAATCGAAAAAACTGTTGGATCGAATGGGAGGGCATAGAATATGGTGGGAGAGTTAACAAGGCGGAGAGGGAAGGGTTCCATATGTAAATGTCTTCAGAACCATAATCTGATCCATATATAAAGTAAGAATCAGGATTTGGTTGGCACAAATTATGTTTCGCCTTATGATTTGATCCGTATTTAAAGCATATCAAACCGTTAACAGATCCAATGACTTTGCCACGACTATTTTCAGATTGGGGTTTAACTGGGAGCTTGATGAAATTAGTGAGTTCCAGATGAGGAGTTCGATAGGGGCGTGCTGTGAATGGTTTGGAGTCAAAAGAAAATAGCTTGGAGAAGTGCAAGAGAATTCTATCGTTTTTGTTGTTTTGAATTGAACGATGAAGGTGGGATTTTATGGAGGAGGGTTCAGATAATAGTGCATTCCAAGATTTGGAGAGACATCTCATCTGAGCTACCTGTTTAGCCGGTAAACTAATGAATATGATTAATAAAATATCGTCTGGGAAGTTCCATACAGTCGTTCGGTGTTTTTTTGAACAGGGGAGAAAAGCCTAACAAAAATCCAAAATAACAAATCTTATTCATACTAGAAATTTTATTAATTCAAATAATTTTTGCAATAACGAAGGAAACAGGGCCGGATTACCATATAAAATGACCGAGAGCAGAGAACAGTTTGGCAAGGGCGGTGACGATAGCAGGAGGAGAAAGAGTCGCGACGGACGGCGAAGTTTGACGAGACAGAAATTCCAAAAAGGCGGGTAACCGCGATCGGCTATTGGATACGAGACCTAGGGTTTGAAGAAATAAACCATATATCAAAGCCTGATTACTCGGTTAAAAGTAAAAAATCTAAAATTTTAGATACTATTGTGTATATGACTCAAGTCAATCTAAATCAAATACAACGTTAAAAAAAAATTAAAATAACTCTACAGAATAAGAGATTTCATTACTTATTATTATCCCACTGTTGAACCGTAAATTCGGTCTCGAGTGTAATGTTTTTTTTTTTTTAGCAAGTTGCTGAAATCGTCCTTATAATTTTCGTCAAAATTACACGTTTGGTCCCTAATATTTTTTTTGCACTCGGATTGTCCTGTGGTTTGATTTTGTTGTATTTTTCGTCCCTTGCATATATAAAATTAGGGACTAAACGTGCAATTTCAACCAAACCATAGGGACGAAAAACACAACAAAATCGAACCAGACGGACGATCTGAGTGCAAATAAAAGGTTAGGGAACAAACGTGTAATTTTGACCAAACCATAGGGACGATTTCAGTAATTTACTCTTGTTTTTTTTTGGGGTTTCCAACTTAGCGATTTAGGTAGAGGGGTTGGTGATGGTGGTGTCTTACTCCATCTCGGCTCCAACTAGTATGGAGAGATCATTCACTATGTCATACCATGGAGAGAGAGAGAGAGAGAGGTTGAAAACTCGGCATATCTAGCCTAAAGGTGGTACTTTCCAACCAGCTTCGCTTAGCCGAGCAATATGCCGAGACGAAACCCTTGGGTCATATACAAGCATCTAAAACCATGCATTATTTATGTTTTTTTGGTCCCCGTCAAACATAAGATAACTATTATACATTGGTAAACATACTATAGAGCCCGGGGTAACGTCCCCAAACCAAGCATGGCGGAAACGTCCGGGGGTGGAGGACTTCATGTATAGTATCATAACAGCAATTGTAATAGTAATTCA